TTATATATAAATATCTCGTGTAAATGCAAATGTATATTGCACGTGTGCTTATATAATGTCTCGTTGGTGAAGCCTACTCTGGTGTCCACGCCTGAGCTATCGGATAAAGTAGTAGTACCTTACAATCTTGCATCCCCTTTGTGTTTCACAAAAATGCTTTCCATATTTTTGATCAGCTCGAGGAGATCTACAATATGATATATATCTCATCCCGAAACGTGGTGGTAAGTTCGTGACCTTCCTTTGTTAGGAAGAAGATCGCTCGTTTGTTTCCCAAATGTGATCTGCTTCCTGAATAATTTTTCGTACTTTAAGTGATTAAAATTTCTCCAAGCCATTCTTGGAAGCTATCTCCGATAGGATCATTCATCAAATATTACGGAAATGACGAGAGCACAGCTTATAACAGTTCCTGATACTGCTCATGCTTCCCAGTTAAAACATTGAAAATATGTGTTAAAATGCGTCAAAACCCACATTTTCATTGTTTACTATGATACTTCAGGCTATTCATATGCATAATTGAATTGTTTGGACGCTCAGTTGTTTGCGAGTGGTGGTTTTTAAGTGATAACCGATTGATGGTTAATGACGACTTCTCTGCACGATTCAGTTGCTTCTGTGCCTGGCGATTCTGCGACAATAAACCGGTTTTCAACTATTCGAATCACATTAATTCATTTCTTAAGCAAATCGTCAAGAATTGACGAACGACGATTGGTCGCTTCTTCAAAAAAGTGGCAATTATTTCGGCTGAATTCACAATGATTCCCCAAAATTTTAAACGGTTTTCCAAGAAATCAACGTGCAAACATGCATAAACATGATCATCATGCAAAGGTATGAAACATTTTGAATATAAGTGTCGTGACTAGCGCGGAAAGCTAGCATGTAATGATAGGTAGTACTCAAAAGAAGATAGTACTTAAATCAAATAAGAAAGGTCGAGCAATGGGCAGATAATATACTGGTGTAACGCTGGGCTTTGAGGACCCGATCTGTTCAGAAGGCGTGAGTTCGAAAATCTTTGACAAAAAGTTAAATGTCGTTAAAGAGATAAACAAAAGAATATCTCATTGGAAGAGATATTAAAAAAAGAGTTTAGTTTCGACAATAAGTTCAATATACAACATAATCACCATAGTCAAAAGGCTCACCATAATCAAAAGGCTTAGGCTTAGGCTTATGTTAGTCCATTTTATTGGTACGCACTGCATTGATCACCGTTCCTTAATGCAATTCTAATCTTTTAATATCTGATTAATATTTGCATTTTGCATAGGTATATAAATATGATAAATGTAATATTAATATAATAATCGATTATGTAATATTTTCATTGGAAACCTTTCAAATTATTGAATGTAGAAAGATAAATTCATCACGTCCCATTTTGCAGTTTAAGTGCTAGCCGGAAGTGGTCGCGAGGTCATCGTTGGTACGTTGAAGAGTTAGTCTCTAATGTAAGATTTTTAATGAGTTTTCTAAAATCGCTACTTAAACGTTTGGCTCTCACTCACTTGGTGAATTACTGGTGAATTACTCTGATGGATTAGCAAAAGTTACTTCGATTGGATTTTTATCAATGTTCGAAATTGAATTGGTTTATCAGTCGAGTTTTGCCATGGGCATTATTTTCATCTGTAAATGTGTCGTTTTTTAAAATATTAAATTGAATTTCAGACATTCACTTATTACAATGGAACTTGGCGAAGAATTTCTTTTGATCAAGTATACACTTCATCTGAAGAAGTTGGTTTTTAATGTAAATCGCTTGTGTACAATATTGCTAGATAGGATGATGTGCGTCCTCGTGTCGGTATTCTATCTTAGCCACTGACGTGATTAGTGAGAGTTTTTAGGGACAATGACTCGAACGCAGGTCAAGATGGATCATGTGAGACTGATTGGACGGCAACGCGAAGCAATTCATCGGTAGCATCTTCGAAACCTCAAACGAAAGATATGAGGTTTGGCCACTTGTTAAGTTTTGAAACGGTATCATCTAATTGTTAATGGTTTCTGAAATATGTGACAGTTAACAGCTTGAGTTGGTTGGAAATCTTATGATGCTTTCGAAAGAGGTGAAAATTCGTGCGGCAGAACTTCTCTGTGATTTGTAGTTGTTTGAACTTGAAACAACTGTACAATAGTGTTGTACAATTCATTACTATTTGTGGGATATTGTTGAAAGTGTTTAATTTGATTCAATAACATTATTAGATGAAAATGCTTAGCAAGTGTATATTTGTTCGTATCTTAAGTGATCTGCAAGGCAGTGTTGCTCGTGATAAGCCTAAGCCGGCAGTCAAAGTCGAGGCTGTCAGCGCTACGCAGCAGCAGAGAGTCTCAAAGCAACAAGTGACATCGAAGAGCTCGAAGAGTATCAACCAATCACCATACTCTAAGAGTGTAACCCAATCAAGTGATTTCTTTAATTAGTATATTAATTCTCATCTTATGGAAAACATTTTGACTGAGACAATTCGGTAATGATATCTGTGCTAGCTGATTAGCGCATGGTAAGACACTATCCCAATAGTCTTCAAGCTCGGATGTTCATTACTCCATTCGATGGTCTGGCAGGCCGTCATTATCTCCACGTCCCCCCTTCCCCGCTAAAAT